TGTGTGTGTGTTTTTAACAACAATAGGATGAATTTCTTGAGCAATATTTTGAGGGAAGAAGGTGGATTTGAGTACAAGAAGGCTATTGTTGATTCGATTGTGATCCTGATTAGAGATATCCCAGATGCTAAAGAAGGTGGATTGCTTCACCTATGTGAATTCATTGAGGACTGTGAATTTACATATCTTTCTACTCAGGTTAATTTCCTCTTTTCTTGCTAATCTTGGTTTTCTTGTCTATCCACATTATTTCATTGTAATTTTTGTTTTCATTAGGTTTCTGTGATGTTGTATTTGTTTATTTCTCACCTCGATCTATCCATAGATACTACACTTTCTTGGAAATGAAGGACCTAAGACCTCTGACCCCAGTAAGTACATCCGATACATATATAATCGGGTGATACTTGAAAATGCAACGGTTCGGGCCAGTGCAGTGAGCACCTTAGCGAAATTTGGTGCCTTGGTTGATTCATTAAAGGTAGAATTGTTCTGGTTTCAGTTTGTGTCATGACTGAATGCTGCATTTTGACTTTAAAACTGTTTCTTTAATATGCTGCAGCCTCGCATATTTGTGCTGTTGAAACGTTGTCTGTTTGACAGTGATGATGAGGTTAGTCTTTAGATTTCATGCCTTCGGTTATTTTTATTCTTTATTACTTTGTTAATGTTTGCTTTATCCTTTTCCTTTCATGTTAATCAGGAGAACCATTCATTGATTTGTGAAATTTAGGGCTCTGTATATATGACTATGAGCAATCATGTGCTTACTTAAGTATTGTTGTTTCCACTCCAAAAAAAAAGGAGTAAGGAAAATAAATAGCCAAAGATTCCATATTTATTCCATATTTCCCTGATTAACATTCATGGTGTTGGGATTTGCAGAACTCGTTGGCATTTACTCATAAGAATTCCCTTTACAAACCGAAAATGGTTGAGCCTTTCAGTTTGTCTTCTTTTTTCCCTCCCCCATATCTTGTTGTCATTCGGTCATTCCTATGTAAACTAGAAAGAAAGTATTCCTTGTCTTAACTGTTTAACTATGTTTTAAATTCCTTTATGGCTAGTAACTTAGATTTCGTTTCTGTTGCATGTACTTGTTTTTAGCAACCTACATATGTGAGAGATCATCTGAAACGAATAGTTCTCTATTGTATTTGCTGATTGTGATATGTGTTTTTGTTTGTTTATAGTATTTTTCAGTTAGCTCCTCTGTCTGTGATTGCGATATATGTTTCTACTTGTGTCATATTCTTTTTTCAGTTTACAAGTGTTGCAATCTTTTGGCAGGTCCGTGACCGTGCTACACTTTACTTGAATACCCTTGGTGGTGATGGTGCAGTTGTTGAAACTGATGAAGAGGTGAAAGAATTCCTTTTTGGTTCACTCGATGTCCCTTTAACCAATCTGGAAACCAGTTTGAAGAACTATGTATGTAGCTTCTCTCTATTATGATCTCTAGTTCTTTTTGCATTTGTTATCTCATGTTTTTCTATAATGGTGGCAGGAGCCCTCGGAGGAGGCATTTGATATTCATTCTGTACCTAAGGAAGTCAAATCTCAACCCTTGGCAGAGAAGAAAGCACCTGGTAAAAAGCCAACTGGTTTGTCTGCTCCACCGGTGGCCCCCACTTCCACTGTTGATGCGTATGAAAGATTATTGTCCTCTATTCCAGAATTTGCCAGTTACGGGAAGCCTTTCAAGGTTCGTTGATCAATATTCATAATCATTTATTTTCTAGGGAAAAGGGCCTGATATACCCCTTAACTTTGCCATTTGGAGTTGATATGCCCCTCGTTATGAAAGTGACTCATTTATATACCCTTACCGTTATACAAACGGCTCACATGTATCCCTACCGTTACAAAATGAGCTCACACATACCCTACATTTAACGGAAGTGAAAAATTTAGTTTTAAATTTATATTTTTGACTTTTAATTTTTTTTAAAATCGTTTAGGGGTATATATGATTCTTCTAGCAAAGTTTATGGTATATTTTAATCTTTTTCATACATAAATTATTTTTTGACTTCTTTGATTATCATTATTTGAGTTTCTTATTCTTATTTTTTTTCTTTCCATTCCTTAGTGTAAAGAAAAAAAATTAAAACTATTTTTTTGTGGCTATATTATAATTTAAAACTATTTCTTTTGGCTATATTGTAATTTAGTTTTTGTATTTGAAGAAAAAAATTGGGTCGTCTATAATAAATTTTACAAGAATATTAGTGAAACATAAATAAATTTGACCATCAAAATAATAAATCTAAATTAGTCATTGAAACAAAAAAAAGTAAAAAAATATGTTTGAGGATGATTAAATATACCCATATGGGATTATATTTTTTTAAAAATAAATAATTAAAAAATTAAACTAAAATTAATTTTTTTTCACTTCCGTTAGAGGAAAAGGGTATATATGAGCCATTTGTATATAAGTAGGGGTATATATTAGCCGCTTTCATAACGAGGGGTATATCAGCTTTAAATGGCAAAGTTGAGGGGGTATATCAGACCCTTTTCCCTATTTTCTAAGGTGATTTGTTTTGTACTTGTTTAAGCTAATATTTTTTTTCCATGTATGACCAGTCATCTGCGCCAGTGGAGCTAACAGAAGCTGAAACAGAATATGCAGTTAATGTTGTCAAGCACATTTTTGACAGTCATATCGTGTTCCAGTACAACTGCACCAACACTATTCCTGAACAATTGCTGGAGAATGTATTGAACTTTTCTTTGGAGGAGTTTCTTGCATTTTAATTTGACCTGATCATCATTTTGAAGTGTTATTTGCCTGCTGCAGGTCAGTGTTATAGTAGATGCTTCTGAAGCTGAGGAATTTTCTGAAGTAGCATCCAAACCTCTCAAGTCCCTTCCATACGATACCCCAGGGCAGACATTTGTGGCTTTTGAGAGACCGGAAGGAGTCCCTGCTGTTGGGAAATTCTCAAACACATTAAGGTTCATCGTTAAAGAGGTATAATTATTTTGTGAACAGATCTGGATGGAGTCATGACTTGAGAGATGACCATGTTTAGCTTTTTTTCCTTTTCCTGTCTGGTAGTTCAGCTTTTCTGGTAGTCATGTAACTTGTATGTATTGAAAAATCTTCTCTATAGTCTATGAATAGAGACTTATATCTGATATTTTAGTTTGGATATGGATTTTTGAGCTGTGAATTGTGGTCACTTGTTAACAACTATGCATGCCATGTAAAGTTGTGTGGAGCATCTTGACTAAGGTGTCTTCTTTCCATAATAATAGCTGCATCATTAGCTCAGCCTGTTCAAAATAATAGCTGCATCGTTTTCTTGGACCCTTTTCTCCTAAAGTATATAATTCAGATAGAGTATTGAACTCTAGACCCAACCAAACTAACAACAGGAGGAGTGAGTGACTTTTTAGCAATCCTTCCCAGCCCAACCTCCAAAAGGATAAAAAAATAGAACTGCTGATTTTTTTCTTTCTGTCTGTAGTATTCAACGGTTCTGATTATTAAATGTAGCTCCGTGTATCTTGCCAAATTGTTTCTTTCTGTCTGTAGTATTCAACGGTTCTGATTATTAAATGTAGCTCCGTGTATCTTGCCAAATTGTTTCTTTCTGTCTGTAGTATTCAACGGTTCTGATTATTAAATGTAGCTCCGTGTATCTTGCCAAATTGTTTCTTTCTGTCTGTAGTATTCAACGGTTCTGATTATTAAATGTAGCTCCGTGTATCTTGCCAAATTGTTTCTAAGATATCTTTCCTATGCAATGTGATGATATGCTATGCTAATTTTTGGTGATACACTAGGTGGATCCATCTACTGGTGAAGCTGAAGATGATGGTGTCGAAGACGAGTACCAGCTAGAAGATCTTGAGGTTGTTTCAGCAGATTATATGCTAAAAGTAGGAGTGTCCAACTTTAGGAATGCCTGGGAGAGTTTGGGAGCAGATTGTGAAAAGATAGATGAATATGGTCTCGGACCAATGGAAGGCCTAACTGAAGCTGTAAATGCAGTTATCAGCCTTCTTGGCATGCAACCTTGCGAGGTTTGTCTTTCATTCATGGTTCTAATCAACTCAAAACACTCTGCTAGAACTCTTTTAAAGCAAGGGCATACTTTACAGATTTGGCTAGAACTCAATTCATATTTGGGTCGAACCTTTTCTGAGCAACTATGCGTATTTCTCTTTATGTGGTATCCTAAACTGTTCTATTATGATGTTTCTCCAGGGTACTGAGGTAGTCCCAAGCAATTCAAGATCACACACATGTTTATTATCTGGTTTATACATTGGCAATGTAAAGGTTCTAGTTCGGTTGTCATTTGGAGTCGGTGGGCCAAAAGAGGTTGCAATGAAACTGGCTGTTAGGTCTGAAGATATATCTGTCAGCGATGCAATTCACGAAATTGTTGCAAGTGGCTAGTTTTGTAGATGAGTTCAGATCAATACTTGTAATAGAAAGTGGATTTATTTTAATTTTTTTTACCAAGTAAATTTGGTCAGTTCAGAACTGCGAGGTACTCTTCAATGAGTCAGTCGGCTGGGGTAATTCAAACACTAAATTTGACTTTCTCGTTCTCTTTTTTTTTTTTTTTGGTTCGAAGGAAAGAGTTGATAGTTCTAGTCCGTATATTTTGCATTATATTGTCAAAGTGTTACCTGATGTACTTGGTTCGAGATACAAAGTTGGCACACCATGCTTGTTGTATTCATTCTAAATTTTGCTATTTTGATGGTTCATTCTTTGTGTGATTGGAAGTTTGTCTGAATCACCGTCCTTTGGCCCTCTTCTCACACCTTTAATTGTGCAAGGAAGGGGTCAGGATTGGAAAATGAATAAACTACCAAATAAGACCGATTACTTTAAAGACGATGCATTATATTTGTGACAACCTGATGAAATATATTTACATGAAATTAATCTTTCACCACTAGACAACTGCACTCACTTTCAAAAAAATACAGATACAACGTTATATTTAAGATATGAAGCAGAATAAAGAAAATCATTTCCATTTAGCATAAAATCTTTGATCACTCCACAGCAACATTCTTTTCACGGGAATTGCAACATTTCTTTCCTTGAGATGCAAATGTCTAGGAACAATCCGGTTTCTAAGGCTGAAAGCAAAGTACTGAGGGAACAGTTTCAGTTCCTCAATATCCTTCTTCATACCCTCAACCAAATACTCATACTTTGGCCACAAGTTGTGTTCAATGCTATAACCAAATATAGCAGGAAATCTAGCACAAAACTTGGCTGATTCTTCATAAGATAACCCAATTCCCTGCAAAAATGTAACTTTTTCTTGCAATTTATCCACTCGGGTATTCAGTAGATGAGCATTTAAGTTTGTTGGCAAGTTCAAGTTTCCAATGTCTAATTCTTTAAGATAAAGCAGTGTTGGTCTCAAACAGAATTGGACATTGGATTCAAGAATTTGAGGGCATCGAAGAATTAAACCTTGAGTTTCTTCTGGGGTTGCAGCTAAATCAAACTTGAAGAAATCAAATACAGATTCAACACTAAATTCAGGAGTAAATACATGGTCACAAACAAGAGCAATTCTGGATATATCAGCCTGGGAGAAACCTTGGGAATTGAGGAAGTTCACCGTGGATAAAATTTGGGAAAGAGATTCTGGGGATGGGTTTGTTTTATAGGTTTTGGTACCAGGCTTGATAATTCCAAGAGATTTTAGATAACGGAGATTTTCGCGGTGAGAAGTATGAAATCTGAGGAAAGGAGGATTTGGAGATGAAGAAAATGGGATATTTGTGGCAGAGATGAAGAAGAAGTTTTTTGTAGTTGGGATAGAAGAGCAAAGAAACATAGCTTCTTTTAGCCACATTTATCTACATTGTCTATTTGTCATGTGGCTCCACATATTTATATGTCATCGTTTGTTATGACAATATACTTCTTCCCTCCCAAATTGACAGTTTTTCTTATTAAAATAACGCCTATTAGTCAAAATTCTCTTTTTTCTCTTCTCAAACCCACAGTGTTCAGGAAAGCTTGTGTGTACTCTAACTATTTTTGCAGACCACCTACTACATCCAACCAACACATGTAATGGATAACTCTGATCTCTGTTTATCAATGCTTGACCGGATCGGAAAAAATTACCTAACATTTTTGCCTCTATGAAAATTAAATCATTAACTACGTCACACCTTAAAAGTGCCAAAATGCACTTAGTTTTACCTGTAAAAGGAAAGGAACAATTTTACCCTTGTGCCATTACAAACAAGCTAACAATATTACCAGCACATAAATTTGCATATACAGAGAATTCTCAAATATGATAGAAAGCCTGAAAACAATTAACATTTTTACAAAAAGAAAAAAAAAATCTTGTTAATGGAAACAATGAAACTGGAGGAGAACAAATAGGAACGTTGAGGAAAAGAAAAAAGTTTATGCCTGGAATGTTCTGTCAACTGAGAATTTCAATATCACAACAATTTTTTGATGGTGGCAAAAGTAAAGCTTGTTTTCATTCTTCAAGATTTTTTTAAAAAAGAATTTTAATTACATAAGCAGCTGAAACCATCAGACAATTTTGACAACAAACAGGTTATTCTTTACAACTGGTGCTGGTCTAGTAATATATGTCAGATTCATGTGGAAACAATTTGGTTTATCTGACTGAAATATTAACTAGAATTAAAGAGATCTACAGGTTATGAAGATGCCAAAAGAAATCACGAACCCACAGGCTGGCCATGAAAGAAAATGAGAATGAAGAGGGACTTGAGATAAATAACAGAATGAAGTGTTTCATAACTCAGATCACACTTCTGTGTCCTCCAAAAGCCCAAATCTGCCAAAGAAAAAAAGAAATTAAGATCTTGTTTTAATGGTAGAATACATAGGAAGCTGAACTGTGAAGAGTCAGATAAATCTATTGCGGAGAAAACAAAAGAGAGAGATAGATGAGTATCCCTTGTTTTTTTCTTTTTATTGAAACAGAAAATATCAATTGTGCGGTAATTGATTGTAATTCTTTTCTTTCAAGTAATTATTTGATATTCAAGGCTAACCGCTATGCAGGCTAGTCCAAAACACAAAACTGAGGCCCCAAAAATGAGAAGTGGAATAGGGTTATTTATTTGTGGATTCGGCTCTTCTTCATTTCTTCATATTCTCACTTGGATGGGGGATAGACGTCTCATTTTAAATTTATGGTTTAGATTATATGCTGAATTGAACTTTTGTCAATGCGTTCGATGATGAGGATATCATGAGCTTAAACAAAGAAGTGGGGATTCATATAATAGGCTAGTAGTTGTTGTAAGCAAGACTTAAACCATGATTGGATAGTAGATACTCCATATATATTTTTGCTTCAAAAAAATTTGCCAATCTCAATGCATATCTCACCCATAAATATATTAAAACTTCTATCCTTTTTCTCAAATCTGGTTTTCTAAATTTCTAACCTCCAAACTCTAAGCCTTATATTGCCTATATATTTCATATATTGAAAATTTTCTAGTATCACTAATTAAAGGCCTTGAATTTGCTAAAATTCAAATTCATTCGATTGGTTCAATATTTAACATATCAAGACCTTGTGTTTTCAACGAAGAAGTGAATACAAATTCAGAATATTATTACACTAGCTATTGACCATGTATATATAAACAGAAACAAGAAAACCTCAAAGCAAATACATTTTGTGAGTAAAATATAGTAAAAGCTTAAAACATGGGGTAGGAATTCAGTTGGTATGAAGTGGCAATAACAGAAGTAAATATATTCTGTGAAAATAGCTATGTTAGGACATGAATTTAGCTAAAGAGAGGAAAGTTCAGAAATCAGATATGGAAATATTTATTACTCTAACCATGGTTAGGACCTTCTTTAATTAATCAATCTCAATCATGTATTTAAAAATTATGATATGTGTTTCCCATCCAAGTAAGAACTTGGGAAATGTAGGAGCTACCATCCATTATTTGTGTAAGTTCTTTCCTCATGCACATAAACTCTGTAATCAATGGTTCTAAACTTATTAGATTTCTTCATCTCATTAGAATTTGGTTTGATGCTTGTTCATTAGGAAAAGAAAACCACTGTAAAGCTTACCTTCAGGTTTGTATCCCAACTTCCTGTACATAAGGCACTTCCGTCAGCTGACAGTCCCAGACAACTTATTCGCCCTTCATGAGAGTTTTGAACTGATCCTAAGTTTAGGACCACCTATTGATTCAAAGCACAAAGGCAAGAAATTAGGCTGATATCAGATAAGAACAAAGACATCATAAATATGTACAAAACAATCAAAATGAAAATGCAATCTAGAAAGGAAAATGGTAGTAATAAATTTAAATGTTACCTACTAAAAAAGAAGAGATTGAGTATGCTTGGATCAAGAATTGTCTCAAAATGTTTGCAAACTAGATAATGTTTAGAATTATAGAAGAATGTTTTGGAGAAATGAGTTAAAAAGCAAGATGCAACTTTGTTGTACCTTTGCTAATAGGGTGTCCCACACGTAACAATCACCATTAGAGTACCCGACAAAGAGAAGACGGCCTGAGATAGAAAATGCCATGGAAGTCACATGAGGGATGTCACCGTCACCATGCGGTTGGTTGTATACTTGCAGCTGGTGTCCAGTCCTAATGTCAAATAATCTGCAGCTTCCATCATCTGAACCAGTTCCAAATCTATTACCGTCAGGGAAGAACTTTACAGTATTAACATCACTCTCATGTCCATGAAATGTTCGTTGAGCTCGACTAGCAACTCGGGTGTCCCACAGTCGAGCAGTTGTGTCACAGGACCCAGACACAAACAGTCTGGGGTTAGATGAACTAATTGAGACACTGGATAAATGGAAAAGAAATAAGATTGCTTCCCAATATACAAGCAGAAGATACGTTAAACATACTGCAAAGTTTAAGGACAAAGAGAGTATAATTGCATAGCCCATTGACCACAACTTACCTTAATACATCTGCAGTGTGCCCAGATTGAAACTCACCTCCAAACACAGAAGTTCTTAGGCCAGTAGTTATATCCCAAAGTACACATGTTTGATCACCAGAACTAGTTATTAGGTGAGTATCCTCATCCGGAACATACTGACACGAAGACACATACCCCTTATGCCCACTAAGCATTCTCGATACTGGATGGATCCCATCCTTATCGATTGGTGAATTTAAGTTGAAGATAGAGCAGGCACTGTCAAGGCCGCCACAAGCAACAGACTGTCCACTAGGAGAGAAGGCACAGGTCATAACCCAAGCACATGGAAGCTTAATTGCATGGGTTTTCTGGCTTGTGAGAGCATTCCACACTATTAATCTACCATCTTGGGATGCACTGACTATACGATTTTTTTCAGGAGTCCAGTCCAGTGAATAGACCTGCAAAATATTTTTTAAAAGTTTGGTAATACAACTTCACAGTTACAAAGTAATACCCCTATATTATGATCTCCAACACACATCAACTAAGTTGCCATGGATTATAATGTATATGATGTTTCCTTATTTACTTGCAATGGTCTCTCCATCAATACATCAACAAAGTTTTTAGAGGATATTATCCGCACATAAAGAAGCAAAAGTAAAGAGCAAGTATGATTACTAAAGTATTCTCACTCCATTTAGTGAGTACTGGTACTTGGTGTTATGCAGTTGTGGTAGTTCATGAGTATGATGCTTACTTAATTACTTGCTTTAGTCTCTCCACCGGTGGATTGTCATTTTTGATCTTTTACATTGTAATAGCTAAGTCTTATAGCTGCCTTCAGAAAAGCCAAGTAGTTTCCGTAACAGCTTCCAGCAGTGAAATTAAAAGAGCTCACTTCAGTGCTTAAAGTGTGAACCAAGATGAGGCAAGACGTGGGGTACGGCACTTTATGGCCTGAAGCAAGGCTAGAAAAGAAAAGTGTGCGCCTCAGCAAGAATGCCAGAGGCGTGAAGCATCCTTAAGCGAAAAAAGCGAGATTTTTGGAAAATTTCACTGAAATAAGGGTTAATTCAAGGTCTAGTTTTAAAACCATTGCAACAGAGACTTGCACATCTTCTTCCTGCTGCTGATACTCGAATTTGCTGCTCTTTTCTCCTCCAATTCTAGTGTTGCAATGTAAGTTCTTATCTTCTTCTTTTCGCCCCTTACTCTTTTCTTATCTCTTCTCCTCTCCTCTTTGATTTTTCATGAAACCTTAGACGAAAATGTTGTACTCTTCCTCTCCAATTTTTTTTGAGAAAGTTAACTGGTATTATAAACAGAAGGAAGTACACCAATAGTGTGCTCCTAAGTAGTTACATCAAAAATATGAAGGAACATCCAAAACAAATCTATCACCTATATCCATTATAGACTATCTAAAAACAGAGTGATGTCCCCTATATCCTTAGGTACAGATTGAATACACCAAAAGTAGAATGTTGCTAGACAGTTCATCTTCATACTTTGGAAGGAAATGCTCTTGTTCTCAAAACATCTCTGATTTCTCTCCTTCCAAATTGTCCACCAGATGCATGCAGGGACAATCTTCCATCTCTCCTTGTGTCCTGATTGATTTCCATCCCTATTCCAACATGCTAGAGCTTCTACAGTATGTCTTGGCATGGCCCATCTAATACCCCTGAGATTAATGAACCATTGCCATAATTTTTCAGTCACTTTACAGTGTAAAAAAAGATGGTTTACTGTCTCTGTTTCAGCTTCACAAAAAAAACATCTGGAGCATAACTGCCTTCCCCTTTTCATAAGGTTGTCCTGAGTCAGAACTGCTTGATGTGCAACTAGAGGCTCCTGGTTTCTTAGGAATCAAGGCAATGAAAGTTGCATTAAAACTCTTCTCGAAAGTTTGATTGGAATGGAAAACCTGAATGGTGTTAATGATGCCTTCTCCATAACACACTGGTTGAGGCATTACATTATTCCTTCTTCCTTCTAAGACCTCTAAAGCCATATTTTCTCCAATTTTCTCTTCTACTCTACTCCTTTTTGGAATTCTAGAAGAAGAATAGGAAGAGTATAACATTTTCGTCTAGACAAATTCTTAACCAAATTCTTCTTCAAGAATTTGGTTAAGAATTTGTCTACGGTTTCATGAATTCGGTTAAGAATTGGCTTCAAGAAGATAACTATCATTTTCGTCTAGGGTTGCATGAATTTGGTTAAGAATTTGCTTAACATGTTATGAGGATTATTTTTTGAGATAAAGGTAACTGACTATCTAGTTTAAGTATGTTATGAGGATTATTGACTATCCAGTTTTAGTATCTATTAATTAATTTTTAATTTCAGAAATGGAAGATTTGCTTAACATGTACTTCTATTGAGTTCTTGGTCATTTATCTATGCGAATTTAATATTTTCTAATTTTGTACTGTATTAAATTGCGCTTTAGTTGAAAAAAGCATGCCTTCACTTCATGCTTCAGTGAAGCGAGCAGTCGTTGCTTTTTTTTAACTTATCGATTTCCAAAACACTGGCTAACAGCTAGTTAGATGTTAGCTTGATATGATAGTTATCTTGCTTTCCTAGTGTCCAAGTTTTTAGGTGGCACATATTAGTGACCAAGCAATATCCTTCCATACAAGTAATCCCTCTGTTTCAATTTGTTTATCTTACTTTCCTTTGTAGTCCATTTAAAAAATAATATCTCTTGCCTTTTTTGACAACTCTTTCATTCTAACTTTTTTTTTTTGATGAAGTAAGTAGATTCATTTCAAGGCATCAAGAAGATGCAAGCTTTACAAGGATAGATCAGTTAAGCTCACAAAAAAAAGGATTTGTAGCCTCTTTCTAACTAACTTTCCACATGACATGTTTCAGACCACAAAATTAAAATGACATTTTTGCATATTCTAGCTATCTTTAGTTTAAGACCGCAAGATTCAAAAGCCTTCTATACTTCTTAAACTACGTGTCAAGTCAAAACTCGACAAAAAAATTGAAACGGAGGGAGTATAATGTATCATTCAGGTTGAAAAAAATAGATTACAATCAACTGTGTTAGACCCTTGTCAAGGACTAACTAACCAAATCTGCTCTTGTTGTTTTGATCTTCTTCTACTGCTCTGTGCCTCCACTTTTACCTTGTAGTTTATTATTTCTAAGAATTTTTTTGTCACCATGTTATGTTTTGACTTCGAGAACAAAATTCAATTGACACCTTGTCAAGTAACTATACTCACAATGTACTAGGTTTTGTCATTTCCAATCATAGAATGGTTGTTGATTTTACTTCAAGAACCAATTAACTCGTGCACCCAGCAATTATTCATCTACTGAAGGGGAATGTGAAAAGGCAGTAAAGCAGACTAAAGAAAGAAAAGAGGCGACAATTAATCCTCACATAACAACCACAACATTGAAGAATAGAGTGGTTTAAACATAAACTTGCTCAGCCCTTACACTAAATTCATGCACAGTTCAAAAAATGTTTGTGCTAGCTTCGTACATGTTAGGGGGTCCTACGATAGCAGTAAGACTTTCAAAATGTACTCCCTTTACTGCATCATTAACAGTTAAACGTGCTAACAGGACCAGACCAAAAAGACAAAAATCCACGGTCTCAAATTCTCGTCCTGAGCTCATTATGACGGTGTTTGATTGACTGCACAGCTCAAGATGTTAATCTAGCTTGTTTATTTCATTAATACACAGAAAATATTAATAGAAAAAGTTAGTTTCATAAACAAAAAATCACATTAAGATTCAAGAATTCTTTTTAAATGTTCATCAAGATTCAAGAATTAGAATATAATTAAACGAATTTGAGTTAATTTTCATCAAGATTCAAGAATTAGAATATAATTAAAATTTAAGTCGTGAAAGTAATGGATCAAACAAACAATTCGTATGTCCCAGATAAAAAGGATAGGTGTTATATACATATAAATTGTAAGAAAGAAAGCATGAATTTCGTTGTATAAATTTGAATCTAAAATTCACAAAAATGGAGAAAGTATCTTACCTTTCCAGTGTGTCCTTGCAGGATCCTACAACAAACTAGATCTGTTGGGCCGAACGTTACCGGAGTTTTACCTTGCGTCTTTGCATACCCAGAAACTGCAAAAAAAGAAAACCAAAAAAAAATCAAGATCTCTGAGTAATTACGGAAACAGCTTCAAATAAGAAAGAAGTAGAAAGAACTAACCATCTGTGTCGAGTAATTGGAGACGCTTCTGCTTAAGTTTTTCACGGAGATCATTTACAGTCTGTGTAGCGGCCATGTGCCGCTCTTTCAGCTCCGCAACTGACATTTCTTTAAGGAAATTGAAACATGATTTTCACAAAATCGCAAGATTTTTTTTGGCTTTTGAATTAGGGTTTCTGAAGAAGAAAGAAAAAGAGAAAGAGTCTGGCTGAGACAGCGGCGAGTCACGGAAGTTGGTGGTGGTGTGAGGGTGGTTTCAGCCTTTTACAGAGAGTTGTTTGCCTGATAGCCGCCGGGCCCACCGCTGTGCATGACGTGTGCTAGTGGGGTCTACAATGACTTCATTCCTCTTTGGGCTTCCGGCCCAAAAGAGAGCTACGAGTACTATTTATGTTAATTTGTCGACCCATGGGAAAATTTTTGTTTTCCGTCCTGTTGTGCCAATTTTTCGTGTGTAAGGATTTCATTCAGGGAAAGTCATTTTTATTAAGAATTTCTCGTATTCATAATTTGAACTTCAAATTTCTAATTAAAATAAATATAGCTTCATCCGCACCACCACAACATATGGTGGTGTGTAAGGTTTCCCTTTTATCTTTGAGCAAAAGTAAATTCAAATGTCATATGTTTTGACTAGTTAGCATATCACATGTTTATGATTTGCATAAGTTTCTGACATCACAGAATAGTTTTAACTTTTATCATTAAATAGAATGTTAATAACTTTTTAATTTTAACGTGAAAAAATTATTTTATTTGGAAGCATTCAACTTTTTTAGCTTCACAATAATCGCTTTAGTCGACATAAGCTAGGACATTAACCGCTTGTCTCTAGATAAATTTTTATCTACTCTGATCGTACTATTTCTCTATGTTAAACATGGAAAGTAAATTTATTACTTACTTTTAATTTGTTGAACGAATGCATATGAGATTGTGTCCACGAAGTATGAGGTGTTCTAGTGAAGTCCATAACGACTTCAATAACATCAATTATAAGTTTTCTTTTGCATTTTCTATCAAAATAAACTTATAGTAAGTCGTTAATCTAGGGGAAAAATTTCATTACTTGTCTCACTATTGATACGTATGAAAAAAATCTCAAAAAAAGTGATTTCTCAAATCTTATCTTCAAGTATAATTTAGAAAATGTTATACCTTTAGAATAATTAGCTTTTCACATAATTTAATTTACGGTAGGTAACAATTTCTATTTTCACCATTAAATAGACTATCAATCATTTCATACCTAAATATTCAAAGTCAAATATATTTTAAAGTAAAGAAGGGGCTTTGTCCTAAAATATTTGATTTTATTTTTATTTTTAAAACTATTACTTTTGTGACCTTAGATTGAGTCAACTTGTCTACACTTTTAACATTGATTGCTTCTCCCCAAGTAAATCCAGTTCCATCCCCAACCGTTAATTATTGTGTGATTTCTGTGTTAAACACGGCAAGTGAATTTATTACCCTAGATTTGATGAATGTATGCAAATTTATTCGTTTTATATTATGGTTGGTTTGTGAGATTTGGCAACTACAAAAATTCATGTCTGATACCTTTATTAACTACTATTAGAAGAGTGAGTATCAACATGTCTGTTAGTTGACAATAAAATTCAAATTAGGGATATTTTTGTAATACTCTTTTATGCTACGTGTCATTTCTATTGTTCTCAATAACCTGCATCAGCTATCCTTTTGCCTCTCTGTCACTACTGTGTCTATCTTCTCCACTGCACAACACAATACAAGCCATAGAAGACCACTCACAATTCCAACATTCTTATTAGTTTCCTTTTAATCTAAGAACTCAAATCTACTTGGAGTTATATACAGAAAATTGAGTGTTTTTTTTAAAAATCAGATTTTAGGCCGAGGTTTAATTTGAGTTTCACTCAACGATTTTGGCATAGTGAAGAAAAGCAGATATCCATGTGAGTATTTTGTATGAAATTGGATATTTAATGTTCTTGCATGTGAGTATTTTGTCATATTTGCTTTAATTTTGTTTCAATTGTTGTTGAAAGTTATAGAATTGCAGATTTATTTTCTCAATATATAATTTATTAGATCTTCTGAGACTTTCGATAGTTTATACTAATTATATACTAGCTAACTGATGATTAGCATGAGTCTCCACTTTATTCTTGCTTTCATTTCGATTCATAATTTTCCTAGCTGTTAACACTTTGTTCTCATAGTGTCTTATTCAGTCAAATGAACATGCATTGTTTCGAAATTTTGCTTCAATAAAGAAAAAAAAAATGGGCTAGAAATAAACTGAACTCTGGATTTAACCTTCGATTTATTTTCATTTCTTACAATTGCTTTATTTATGCCTCTAACCAAGGTAGGAATATTATTATATTTTCTCTTTGTTCTTACAGAGTTTTAAGCTAATTCATTTCATTTTTACTCTTTGATCATTTGAGGGTGTGGAAAAATTTCGTTGGAATTTTGGGATTATGAATATTTATTTTAAAATGTTCCTTTTTACTTGAACCATTTGAACATTATTATCAACTAACAAGGAATGGACTTGCTTTCATGGTTAATAGGTAATCTTCATGTCAGTTATAACTAATAACTAAAAAGATTTTTGTCCTTCTGTTATATGAATGTGATTTTCATGGCTATGGCCTATGTATTAACTGAATAATTTGATTCCAATTAAGAAAAAGCGAGTAATTTGCTGAGAACTTTAATGACCGTTTAGAAATCTATTTGTCGTTGGTACAAATGCACAGATTGAGCTTGAGCTTATTAAAGTTGTAGCATCAAATATGTAGTAGTGGTGGAAATATTTGGGAAAATCTACTTGCAATTATATTCGAACTTGTTGGTTTCACTAAAAGTTTATTCAAAGATATTTTCCCAACCATTTACACAACTATATGCACTCAAGGCTATTACGTACTATATTTTGTTGCAAATAGGTAAATGCCAAATGATGAGGAGACATTTGGATGGATGAAATTGTGTAAGGCCATTTGTGGGTGGACAGGCACGTCTACAAGATTTTGACTTCTTCATCTAATGAAGTTTGTACAACTTAGGGAGTATAGATGTTTAATGAGAATCTCTGTTTAATTAAGTTCCTTTTCAATGTTCCTTTACGAAATTTACATTTTAGTTTGATTATGTCTGATTGCAAACTTAATCATGATCCGCAAATTTATAATTTTGATCCAAACATGTAAAAAGTACTCCAAATCACATGTTGGGTCCGTGCGCAGCACGGGCATTGGACATCTAGTATATATATAATTACTAGTAAAATTACCCGCTTCGTGCGGATATTTAATATCACAAAATATATAAAATAGTACTTAAAACCTAAGCATAAATTAATGACCGTAAAAATACGTATCAGGATCTGTAACATAAGCAATGGCGTCACTGAGCCACTCAACATGAGTAAAGTACACAAATATTTAATTGTGAAGAAGAAGAAGAAAAAGAGGAGGAGGAGGTTCAGAATTTTCGTTGATTTAAAATGAGAGGAAATCTCTCTATTTATAGACAACAAATGGTAGTGTGAACAAATGTTTATTATGCCTTATCGGAAAGGTTACATCTATTTGAAAAAGTCACAATTTTTCATAAAAGTCGCAACTCTTCATTAATGTCGCAACTTTTCATAAAATTCGCAACTCTTCATTAAAATCACAATTTTTCATAAATGTCACAACTTTTCATGAAAGGGGAAGGCTAATTTTGAAAATAATTAAATTAAAAGTGAATTCTGGTTTGTTGTGGCGTAGACGGGCTAAGGTTCTCTTTTATATATATATATGATTTTCAAGCAAATAGCAAGACTATTGTTTTAGAGTAAAACCCCATTAAGTTTTGACTTACTTCGTTTTCTTTTAAATTTTCACTTTATTGCTGGAGTCTGAAAAATCAATTTCATGGATCACGATTACAAGTTTTAATTTGGTTAATAGAATATAACATTAAAGAGTAGTATCAAATTTATCCAACAAACTGAAACTGATAAACAAAAATAAACTATGTCAAATTTATTTCCAACAAAAATAGTGATCTGTCTACACACCACTCTCTTCAATCCCCCGGGATTACTCAGGATATGTTGTTGACTTGTTGTTTGGAAAGAAAATGATAGTACTAAGGAACTATACACTTCAAATTTAGTTCTTCTTTAAAGACAATCCTGATCATTTTAGCAAAAGAAAAAAAGGGGTGAATGCGATTATTTATCGACCAATTTATATAGTTACATAAACTACTCCATCATATAATAAAATATATTTAGATACTAAATTAGATGCTCTGCGTTATAAGTTGCCACCAGGATAAGTACAGCCATTGTAACCTAAGAAAAAGAAAGAGGAAAAAAAAGATGTTATTTGTTGACAAAAAGACAGGGCCAATTAATCAAGTACCAAATATGAAAGCTACAGCCTTGCAAAACACGTGTTTAACTAGTTATTAACAGTTTGAAATTTGGATTGACATTTGTATCTAATTTGGAAGAACACTTTTGTCATTGAATTATTATACCACATTGGATGTGGAATAAAATCATAGCAAGATTTCAGTATAAATTATACCAATATTTTACTAATATGAAAACTAAAATGCAAGCAAATGATGTTTTTTTATAACTCCAGTAATCAAACAAGAGGCAACATATTCAATCAAGTACTCAAATGGTATTGTGGAGAAGTGTTGGTGCAAGATGAGAAGAAACTTACTAGGATTTGTTGAGGTGAGGGAAGCGGTCTGAGAGAAATCACAGTTCCAGGGATTCCTTCCAGCAGTTTGATAAAGAACATTCATAGCATAAGCAGCATGCGATGCAACAGTATTTGGTTCAAAGCATGGACCGCCTTCTTGAATAGGGCTACAGTCAATACCCATGCTACAGGCGTAGTCGAGGTTTGACTGTAATTCAGAATCAGGAATTCCTGGCTTTGGCAAGCACCAAGTAGCTGATCCTGTTGGCTTTGGTGCTGGTGTAACTGGAGTTGTCGGTGTTGCTGGAGCAGGGGTCACTGGAGCTGTAGGAGTCTAACAAAAGACACAAAACGAACAAACATAATAAGGATCTTCAGCATGAGTTGATTATTGAGTACTGGCCTTCAATCCTAATGTACTTTCTCTATCCCCTGCATCTTATTCTAATGCAGCGGTACATATGCTACCTTCTGTCTGTATTATTCGTCTCTGAAGATTTTTGCACGCTTGTTAAGAAAGACATTAGAATAGCCTTCAATGGTAAGAGTAATTTTCTAAACTATTATTTATCTCTCCTAATCGTATCATAATATTCCACTAGTTGGACTAGCAAGGATCAATTTGAAAAATAAGGAAGTAACAAATGCTCCTTGCCTTTCAAAATGTTAAAATATTTGGGACATATACAATTTGCCAAAACGACTAATATTTGTGATCGAAGGAAGTACTACAGATATTACCTATATGGCTCTTGAAACCTAAAATCTATTATCATTTGATTGAAAACATATATTTTATTTATGTCCTTGGAACTTATTTTCTGTTTTTGGTTCAAACATGTTTTCGAAACTTGTTGGATGGCAAATTATTGTTCTCACCTGGGAATTTTTTGAGAGGCCAGCATCATAAGTCGTGGAAAGATCAGGCTTGAAAAGTCCAAAGGAGCGTTCCGAGCCAGGCCCAGGCTTCAAATCCTCGTCATAGAGAGCAAAGATATAGGTATCGACTGATATTCCAGGCATCAATGGAGTGCCAACCATAGACCTCAAGTGGTTTATCAAGTTACCGTTATAAGCTTTTGCATTATCCATACTTGGGCCTACTTCATTTGGATCTCCCTTGTATGGCCACCCTGTCTCTGCAACCACAATTTGAATTTCCTTAAATCCCCACGCATTCAGGGCTGAACGTACGGCGTCAACCTGCAGGCACACAAAATTTTCTCACATCAACCTGAGCAACTAATTAAGGACAATTTATTGAAATTGGGAATAGAAGCGTTACAGAATTAGAGCAGTTGATTTAGTCAGCAAGTAAAAGGAGAATCTATTGATAATGGTTCTAGAGCGGTTATGATATCAGGGAACAGTGGAATAGACCAACTATATTCGTCTCGATTAATATATATATATATATATATATATTTGCTTTGTTCGTTACCCGCTTTTGGACCCCACGAATTCGGATTCACGCCTCCTGGAAGTCTCATTTTGGCATAGCGCTGCCTACCAAATATCTTCCTCTTGAATATATATACTCTCAATGGATGCATTAAAAAAAGCTTTCAATGTGTCCAGTTACTCCATTCCAAACTCATTGGTTATAAATCCTAATCTATCTCTAACTTGGACACCATGAAAATATCAAAACAATATGGTGCCATTTATGATTTTTCAAAACAAAACATGTGCACTACTTTTTCTAATGTGTACTTCCATTTACAAAATTTTGATGGTATATATTCTTTTGAAAGTATAGCATTCTACTGGGCCCTGCACACCAAACTTTGCAGAACTATTTTTCAGTTTGAATTCACTGTTTACATATGTCCAAACAGATTCCAACGAAATCAGCAATAATTTTGCTTATCAAGTTGTTATCCTTTCATATGTAAGAGTCAAGTTTCCCATTAAATATTGTACTACTCCCTCCGTTTCACAAAGAATGACCTGGTTTGACTTGACACGGAGTTTAAGTAAATAAAGAAGACTTTTGAATCTTGTGGTCCTAAATTAAAGTTATGTCAAATGTACAAAATTGCCCTTAATCTTGTGGTCTTAAACATGCCACGTGGAAAGCAAAAAGTAAAATGTCACCAAAAAAGGAAAGAGGTCATTCTTTTTGAAACTGACTAAAAAGGAAAAAAGATCATTCTTTGTGAAACGAAGGAAGTATAACATTTGAGAATCAGAACCTTGTCCAATTACTATTTTTTAATGAAAAACAGGCTGTCATTACCACGCAAGAGTCAAGATCCAGAGTACTAGATGCTTTTTAGGTCCCATCAAATTGCACAAAAAAAGGCCAAGAAATAGAGGTCACTGAGTAGTGATTATGGATAGTTGGCCAATTATTAATTATTATTGTCTTGCCAATTAGTACTCCCTCCGTCCCTATTTACTTGTCCATATTTCCTTTTTTGGTTGTCCTTATTTAGTTGTCCATTTTGACAAATCAAGAAAGGACAACAAATTTTTTCCTATTATACCCTTATTTACACTTCTTGAAAATTGTAAAAGTGTATGTTGTTTCCCTCCAATTTATTTCACTTGAATTCAAATAAGTGGTTGTAATTTTGAAATGAAAAGTTGTCATAAGGGTAAAATTGTAACTTCACTGTGCTAATCATTGTTGCCTTAATCTGTGTGTCATTTCTAAAGTGGACAACTAAAAAGGGACGGAGGGAGTATTAAATTACATACTATTCATTACTACTACAGGGGGGAAAAGGAGCCAATCAGTAAAATGTTCTTACAGTAAGAAAGTACTCCCTCCGTCCCTATTTACTTGTCCATATTTCCTTTTTTGGTTGTCCCTATTTAGTTGTCCATTTTGACAAATCAAGAAAGGACAACAAATTTTTTCCTATTATACCCTTATTTACACTTCTTGAAAATTGTAAAAGTGTATGTTGTTTCCCTCCAATTTATTTCACTTGAATTCAAATAAGTGGTTGTAATTTTGAAGTGAAAAGTTGTCATAAGGGTAAAATTGTAACTTCACTGTGCTAATCATTGTTGCCTTAATCTGTGTGCCATTTCTAAAGTGGACAACTAAAAAGGGACGGAGGGAGTAGTATTGTCATAAGGGTAAAATTGTAACTTCACTGTGCTAATCATTGTTGCCTTAATCTGTGTGCCATTTCTAAAGTGGACAACTAAAAAGGGACGGAGGGAGTATGAGAATATAGAGTTGAAATATTTTCTTATACTACCACTAGCTTTTCTGCACATGCTCTTGAAAGAATGTGTCAGTTTGTTGCAGTAAACAAAATTAGTTAACTACACGGGGAAAATTCCTACAGCATCTTAATTTTTCATAATAGCTACTACAAGATATATTTAGAAACTACGTAAAAAGTGAATTACTAACCTGTGCGTCAAACATATTCATGTATTTGATACC